TGATCCACCCGCCTCGGCCTCCCAAAGTGCTGGGATTGCAGGCTTGAGCCACCGCGCCCATCCAGTTTTTAATTTTTTGTAGAGATGGAGGTCTCACTATGTTGCCCAGGCTGCTCACAAAATCCTGGCCTCAAATGATCCTCCTGCCTTCCAAAGTATTGGGATTACATGTAGGGAGAAAATCCCACAAGTGCCGTGGCAAGGGTCTGAAGCCTCAGCCTCTTCCCATATAAATATTGATTTAGAAAAGAATTAGAAATGTAGGGACATAGTTATTCCTTTCTATAATCATACATAATCTATAGTTACTCACTTATAATCATAAAGATAGATACTCAGTATAACCTTTAACTTTACTAATGACTATCGGGTTATGAAGCATGGAACTGAGGTGACATTGTGAACAAAGTGATCCTAAGGCAAGCTGCTCTAAGTCCTCTGTCACGCCGCATAAGGGCTACTGGAGGGCGCCTCGGCTGGGCGTCAGCCCAGCGCTGGGAAAGCGCCCGCTGTTTAGCCAGCTAGGGAAGGAGACATCCAAAATGACCGAGACGTCTCCTTCCTGGGGGAGTTAGGAGAAAACTCCGCTTCTCCAAGCTCTTGTGACAAGGCCTGACGGCTGCCAGGAAGACCTGCAGACATCCGGGGGCTGAACTGTCTCTATGTGATGCTGGGCTTCAGTGGCCACGTTCCATGTCCACTCTCATGCACTGCTTCTGCACCTGGTTTCTCTTTTTCTTAAAAGATTAGAATAATAGTAACAATTTCAGTGTCCTTGACATTTCTGACAAATGTGCAAAGAGCGCTGACGCATTGGGTTTTCTGCTCGCCTCGGCTACTTGCAAGTCCCAGGCCCCCTGTCTTCAAGACATGTGACTTACCTGACCCTATCACCGACCACCATTGCCTCACCCTACCTGCCCTTCCCCCTGCTGTGTACTCAATAAAAGTCAGAGTGTCCCAGCACTTGGAGCCACTGCAGGTCTCCGTGCTTGGGTTGGCAGTGGACCCCCAGGCCCAAACTCTCTTTTGTCTGTGTCTGTGTCTTTTATTTCTACAGTTTCTTGTCTCTGCACCAGCAGTGAGGGGCTCATAGAACCCAATAGGGCTGGACCCTGTAATTATAAGGCATGAGCCACTGTGCCCAGCCTATTTTGTTTTTTTTTGGTTTATTGTTTTTAGAGACAGGGTCTTGCTATGTTGCCCAGGCTGGCCTGGATCTTCAGGGCTCAAGAAATCTTCCTACTTCAGCCTCCTGAAAAGCTGGGACTACAGGCATGCGCCCCGGCTCCCAGCTTGAATGAATTCTTTTTAATTTTAATTTCTGTCACCAAAAACACTGTGACTGATACAGAGTCAACTACAATTTTACTACTTTTTTCATTATATCTGATCAGATATAACATCATAAGCACACTGGTGAAGAAGAGTTGTAATCAGAGTACCACTTTTTTTTTTTTTTTTTTTTTTTTGGTGCTGTGACTCGGATCAGAGTACCACTCTAATTGAAGCTTTGAAATTGACAATAAGCCACCTGCAATCCCTTGGTGCAGAGAAAAGGAGAAGAACTTGGACATCTTGATTTTTCACCAGATATTCAGAGGTCATCCACCTGGCTGGCTCCCTCTTAGAGTGTGACATCATTTTTTTTTTTTTTGAGATGGAGTTTTGCTTTTGTTGCCCAGGCTGGAGTACAAATGCACAACCTCTGCTAACCGCAACCTCCGCCAGGTTCAAGTGATTCTCCTGCCTCAGCCTCCTGAGTAGCTGGGATTACAAGCATGCGCCGCCAGGCCTGACTAATTTTGTATTTTTAGTAGAGACAGCATTTTTCCATGTTGGTCAAGCTGGTCTTGAACTCCTGACCTCAGGTGATCCACCCACCTTGGCCTCCCAAAGTGCTTATAGGCAAGAGCCACTGCCCACGGCCAGAGTGTGGCACCTTTACAGGGGACTGTGGGCTGGGCACAGTGGTTCATGCCTGTAATCCCAGCACTTTGGGAGGCCAAGGCAGGCGGATCACCTGAGGTCGGGAGTTCTAGACCAGCCTGACCAACATGGAAAAACCTCGTCTCTACTAAAAATACAAAATTAGCTGCACATGGTGGCGCATGCCTGTAATCCCAGCTACTCAGGAGGCTGAGGCAGGAGAATCACCTGAACCCGGGAGGTGGAGGTCGTGGTGATCCAAGATCACACCACTACACTCCAGCCTGGACAACAAAAGTGAAAAACTCTGCCTCAAAAAAAAAAAAAAAAAAAAAAGAAAAGGGCCATGAAGCCTTTTGCCTAAGACCTTGCAAAGGTCTCCCCAGGGGTAGCTATTCACACCTAGCAGACAACACACTAGTGTGGACATCTCAGTGCACTTGGCAAAGCCGATCTCTGAAGCCTCCTGTACATCGGGCCAGCCATGGCGCTTGCACTGGCAAGGATCTTGCTCCAGCTCTTCAGTGATCACAGTAAAGTGATTAACACGGAGTAGCCAGTACAATGATTATTTCCTATCGGAGGTGGGCGGTGCCTTAGGCAACACCAGGCAGAAAAGCCCAGCACTGTCTCAGCCGTTTCTGAGCAGACTCAGGAAGTGATCCTGGTTCTCCAACTTGAGCATGCATCAGAATTGCAGATAGTGGTGGTGAAGGGGGTGGAGAGTGAGGGTGGGGTTGGGAAGACTTGTCAAGACACACACTGCTGAGCCCTACCCCTAGAGTTCCTGATTCAGCAGGTCCGAGTGGGGCCTGAGAAGCTGCATTCCTCACAAGTTCTCAGGTGCTGCTGGTGCTGCTGGTCTGGGGACTATACATTGAAAATCACTGTTAGAAGATTGCTGAATTGGATAAAGACCCCTCAAAGGAGAAATTATCCAGCACGTGGTTTTTCTACTCCCCTGAAGCCCTCGGCTCAGCAAAGATGCCCTGCCATCTCCACTGTGGGTTCTGAAGCCTTGGACAAGTACGGGAGTGAAATGTACATCTATGTAAAAAAATGATACACAATACTAACTTCATGCCTGTGGGCATAGAGCAAGAGATGTCACAGCATGCCTGCATCTCTATCACATTGTCACAGCAGTCCCTAGATGCAACGATTCCTGTATTACAGAGAAAGAAATGGAGGTACCAGGCAGCCATCACTGTTGTCTACAAAGTCACACGTGGAAGGCAATTTATTTTTGGTTATGAGAATTGTCAAATGCACGTAAAGGTGGAATTAATAAATCCCCAAATGCCTCAACCGTAGTGGAGTCTGGCAATGACAGTGGTTCTCAAATTTGAGGGTGCATCAGAATCACCTGAGAGGCTTGCCAAAACAGAGACTGCATGGGTATCATCCACACACAAGAATGACTAAGACTGTGCCACACTGAAAACTCTTCTGATGACAAGACGGCACTGGCAGGGAATCAACTCACAAAGGTAGTTTTATATTTCAGTCTGCTTTGTTCTTGAGGCAGGGTCTTGCTCTGTCACCGAGGCTGGAGTAGAGTATTGTGATCACAACTTGCCGCAGCCTCAACCTCCTGGGCTCAATCGATCCTCCCACCTGAGCCTCCTGAGTAGCTGGGACTACAGGCATGTGCCACCATGCCTAGTTAATTTTTGTATTTTTTTGTTGAGATGGGGTTTTGCATGTTGCCACACTGTGTCAAACTCCTGAACATGACTTTGGTATTACAGACATGAGCCATGGCACCCAGCCAGATTTTTTGATGTTATCTCTAAATGAGTAAATCTAAATATTGCCACAGGGACACTGCTCAAAAGGCAGATTGATAATATACCTCGTTCTGGCAGTCCTGTTTGGGCCTGTCTTCATTTTTATGTTTTTTTCTTTAAGACACAGGGTCTTATTCTGTCACCCACACAAGAGTGCAGTGACAAGATCATAGCTCACTGCAGCCTGGAACACCTGTCCTCCAGCAAGCCTCCTCCCTCAACTTCCCAAAGTGCTGGGATTACAGGCCGGAGCCACCACGCCTGGCCTCTTCATTTTAAAAACCACCCAGAAGGGATACAAAATAGAATGTCACTTTGACAGATTTTTTTTTTTTTTTTTAATTGAGACAAGGTCTTGCTTGGTGGCCCAGACTGGAGTGCGATGCCGGGGTAACGGCTCACTGCAGCCTCAACCTCCCAAACAAGCATGTGCCACTGCATGCTGCTAATTTATTTTTTGTAGAAATGGGGTCTGGCCATGTTGCCCAGGCTGACAGCTTCTAATAGAAGCAAACATATGCTCCTCTTGTGAGCAGTTATCCCAGAGAAATGAGAGTTTGTATTCTTAACTTGTACCAGAATAGACACTATAGCCAGGAAAGAAACGAGGGAAGAGGAAGGAGGGAGGGAGGGGGAAGGAGGGAGAGAGAGAGAGGAAGGAAGAAGGGAGGGAAGGAGGGAGGGAAGAAGGGAGGGAGGAAGGGAGGAAGAAAGGAAGTTCATTTCATCAACCGGGTAAACTTTTTAAAAGTATGGTATCTGCACAGTGGAGTACTACTCAGCAATAAAAGGGAAGGAACTGATATGAACTACTTGAATTCCCAACAGGATGGATCTTCTAGTGTGTTATGTTGAATGACAATATTCTGTATTACTTCAAGTTTATGAAGTCCAAGAACAGGCTAAACGAACCTCCAGCGACAGAAAGCAGAATCCACTGCAGGGGTTGGCTGAGGCTGGGTGGGGAGGGGTGTTGGGGATGGGGACAGGGAAGGAGGGGAGGTCAGGATGGCCCCCACGGAGCTTACTGGGGGTGACGGGCATGTTCTATTTGTTGATCAGGGCGACGGTTACACAGGTGTACACACACATAAAAATTAGTGGAGCTGAACACGGAAGGTCTGGGCATCGCACCGTGTGTAAGTTAAACTTCAGTAAAGTGCTCTCAGCACACATCCGCAGCCGCACCCACACAAAATCCCAGGAGGCTCAGTACCAGCTGCGGTCCGGGCCTTGCCCACTTCGGGGAGGCCACGACCCAGGGCATCCGGTTTCCTCTCGCTCCAGTCCAACTTCCGCGCATCTACGCGGCCGGGACTGCCGCTACCTTTCTGGAAAGCGCCGGCCTCGGGTCCCGGCTCCCGCCCGCCACAGGCGTCCCCGCTGCTGCGGGGCAGGGACCGGGCGCCCCGCCCTCACCAGCGCCCGCCCCCGCCCGCCCCCGGCCCGCCCTCCGCATCTGGCCCCTGGGCCGCGGCCCCGGGAGGCGGCCAGCGAGCTGGGGTCGCGCGATGTCGCACGGAGCCGGGCTCGTCCGCACCACGTGCAGCAGCAGCGGCGGCGCGCTCGGACCCGGGGCCGGTGCGGCCCAGCCCGGCGCGAGCCCCCTGGAGGGGCTGCTGGACCCCGGCTACCCCCGCACCCACGCGGCCCTGCTGAAAGTGGCGCAGATGGTAAGAGAGCGCGGGGCGCGGGGCGGAGGTCCCACGGGGCGTCCCGGGAAAGCAGGGCCCGGGTCCGGCCGGAGCCCCGGGAGCGTCGCGCAGCGGGCGGGGAGCCGCGTGGCTGAGTTCGCGGCGGGGCTTCCTCCGGGAAAGTTGCTGCCTCAGCCCCCGCGCTGGAGCTCGGTCTCCCGCTGACGCCGGGCGCCGGGATCGCCAGTTTCTCCGGCCACCCCCCGCCCCGCGGGGCCTGACCCGCCTCCTGACCGAAACCACGGGCAAAAGTTCCTTTTCGTCTTTCTTCCTCTTCTCTGGGCCGCGCCGCTTCGAACCCGAGCCGGGGGTGGAAGAGTCGCCCAGGCGGCGGCGCTGAGACAGCGAAACCCGACCTCCTCCCCGTCCACGGCCTCCTCTTTCCTCCGAGCCCAGCGCGGCACGGCGTCCCTGCTCTGTGCGCAGTTTCGCTTGAGGGAGGTCAGGGGGTCTCGCGTTCCAAGGTGGGAAAAAGAACCCGGGCCCTCGAGCCGGCCGTCCTGGTCCCCTGCGCTCTCAAGTTCCAAGGGCAGGTGGTCAGCTGGGAGAGGCCTGATCTCAGGGGCTGGTTCTCACGTGGGGGAGCCAGTCGGCCGTGGAGCCAGGCAGGATGAATGTCTGGACTTGGGTTGTGGCTAGCTCAGCACCAGGGCCTGCCTGCTACCAAGGCAGACGTTGCCTGGCCGATTCTCTTGCTCACTCTTTTCTCCCCTCCCGTTTTTTCCTTCTTTAAAAGTGTGTAATCTGAAACACCTTTTCCGTTTGTATGATGTGTTTTGGAACTGGGTTGGGCCGTTTGTGAGTCTCCACTTGTAATGTTTGCACCGAGAATGGTAGGGAGGGGAGCGGGAGGTTTCAAAAAGGGGCATGGGGAAAGGAACGTAGGGCCGGCGCAAGGTCAGACCCAGAAGGTGGACTGGCCCAGGGGTTGGACACAGGGTCTCAGACGTCTGTGCATCTATGGCACTGCTATTCCACACACACTGGGTGTGCATAAGGTGGCCCTCATGTCCTGCTTGGGCCAGACCTCAAGAGAAGGGGGCGCTGAGTTCCTGCCTCCCTAAGAACTGTGTCTCGATGAAGCAAAAATTAGGAATAGAGGCATTTTAGCATCGTACCAAAAAATCTGGTGCTGAGCATTGTTGGGTTTGAGCAGGGCATTTTTTGGCCCAAGCTAAGAGATTTGATCAGCCAAAGAGAAGAGACCAGCCCATCTCACCATGCGCTGGGGTGAGGCAGGCCCTACCTGAGCACGGGAAGAAATGACTTTGGTAGACAGAGAATGGGATCTGAAGCCTCCATCTTGGCCTATGAGTTTGCTGGACAAAGATATTATGGGATGAAAAGTCTCCTTGTTGGTTTGTGAGTTTGGTACACAAACATAACAGAGATGAAACCTGGGCAACATAGGGAGACCTCTTCGTTTAAAAAAAATCGTGTGGTGGTGTGGGCCTCTAGGCCCAGTTGCTTGGGAGGATTCATTGAGCGGAGGTCAGTGAACTGTGATTGAGCCACTGCACTACAGCCTGTGTGGCAGAGGGAGATCCTGTCTCTAAAACAAAAACACACCAAAAAAGAACAGTAATGGAGATGAGAAGACTTCATGTGGTCCATGAGTTTGATGAATAAAGATATGGGGAGATGAAAAATCTCCACCTCAGTTTTTTGTTTGTTTTTTTGTTTTGAGACGGAGTCTTGTTCTGTCGCCCAGGCTGAAGTGCAGTGGTGCAATCTCGGTTCACTGCAATCTCTGCCTCCCGGGTTCAAGTGATTCTCCTGCCTCAGCCTCCCGAGTAGCTGGGATTACAGGCATAAGTCACCATGCCTGGCTAATTTTTTGTATTTTTGGTAGAGATGGGGTTTCACCATGTTGGCCAGGCTGGTCTTGAACTCCTGACCTCAGGTGATCCGCCCGCCTCGGCCTCCCAAAGTGCTAGGATTACAAGCGTGAGCCACTGCACCTGGCCTCCAACTCATTTTCAGCTCCTCAGCTAGCCTCTGGCCTATGGCCCTTGTGCCAATTTGCAATTCACAAGAGTGGGGCCTGTTGTTCCGAAAAAGAGAACAAAGACTTGAAGAATTTCTTTATCGCTGCTTCTCTGTGTGCCCCTCTTACAACCTTGCCGGGAGTCTCACACCTTCCCTGGAGGCGTCTCCATCACTGCTGCGGCCTTGTTTGATCAAACCCTCTGGGGCAAAGCTGCCCTTGCCGGCTGGCCGTATTAGAGAAAATAGTTAGGGCTATCTACTGGGCCTCTTGTCTAACGCCTCCCAGTTTTCCTCCTCCTCTTCTCAAGCTCTGCTTGGGCATTTGAGGTTCATCTGTCTTCTTTGCTGGAAAATGCTTGCTTAGCCAAGCTTTAACATTAGGAAAGGGCAGAAGCAGCTAAATGAATGCCACCCATTGGGCTCTCTTTCTATGGGTCTCTCATTTTGACCATTGATGTCTCATTGCATACTGAACAGGCTGACCCTTTTGTCTTCAGCTTCTCATGAAATGTTTTCATTATGATCTGATCAATAGATCTGCCAACATGTCGTCTTAAGAAATCATGAGACAGGCTGTTCCACTGGAGAATGACTTCCCTTGTCTTGGGCCTTGTATTTTTTTGATACAGAAAGGGTTTTGCTATGTTGCCCAGGCTGGTCTTGAACTCAGGGGTTCAAGGGATCTGTCCACCTTGGCCTCCCCAAGTGCTGGGATTACAGGTGTGAGCCACTGCACCTGCATGAGATTTTTTTCAATAGTGACATTTTTGAGACCTATTATTGTTTTTGATCATGTTCTAGTAATTATATACTATATACCATGTATGTGTAATCTCACTGCATGTTTCTAGGAAACCAGTGAAGTCACATGTTTCATAGGTAAGGAAACAGGCTAAAGAGGTAAAGAGACACTAAAGTCACACAGCTCTTAACAGTAGTGGCAGAACTGATCCAGGCCTAGAGGCCTCATCTCCAGAATGCAAACTCTGGCAGAGTTGCTGCTTGTTAATAGTTCTAGGGAAATCAAAGCCACAGTGAGATAACACTTCACACCCACGGAGATGACAATAAAAAGGACAGAAAATGACAAGTGGTGCAGATAAGGCGGATGTGAAGAAATTGGAACGCTGATACAGTGCTGAGAATGCAAAATGGTGCAGCCACTTTGGGAAACGGTGCAGTTTCTCAAAAGTTACCATGTGACCCAGCAATTCTACTCCCAGCTCTACCCGAGAAAAACGAAAACAGATGTCCGCATGAAGACTTACACATTCATTTGTTCATAATAGCATCATTCATAATAGCCGGAAAGTGGAAACAACACAGCTGCCCATCAAGCGATCAATGTATGAACAGCAACTAAAACTGTATTCATACAACTGAATATTATTCAATCATAAAAAGGGAGAATGAGGCACTGATGCATGAAATAATATTGATAACCTTGAAAACACTAAGCTGTGAGAAAAAAAAAAGCCAATCACAAAAGCCCACGTTATATGATTCCATATATATGAAATGTCCAGAATAGGCAAATGTATAGACACAAAAAAGTAGATTAGTGGTTGCCTAGGTCAGGGAGCAGGGGTTGAAAGGAAGTGGGAAGTGACTGCTATCATAGGTATGGGGTTTCTTTTGGGGGTGATGAAAATGTTCAAAAATTGGTGACGACGCTGGGTGCAGTGGCTCATGCCTGTAATCCCAGCACTTTGGGAGGCCAAGGTGGGTGGATCACGTGAGGTCAGGAGCTCGAGACCAGCCTGACCAATATGGTGAAACCCCGTGTCTACTAAAAACTACAAAAATTAGCTGGGCGTGGTGGCGGGCGCCTGTAATCCCAGCTGCTGGGGAGGCTGAAGGAGGAGAGCTGCTTGAATCTGGGAAGCAGAGGTTGCCGTGAGCTGAGACTGCACCACCGTATTCTAACCTGGGTGACAGAGCGAGACTGTGAGACTCACATACACACACACACATTGGTGATGGTGATAGTTGCACAACTCTGAATATATTAAAAACCACTGAGTTTTATACTTTAAATGAGTGAACTGAATGGTATGTAATTATGTAAATAGATCTAGGGAGAAGTGTGAGGGGCAGGATGCTCTGTGTGCACCACTGGGCGTGGGGAGGCCACAGCTACACTTCAGGAAATCCCCATGGCGTTCCCACTGCACCCACTCCTAGAAGAAGGGGTGTCCACTGCAGAGTCACAGAAGCTGGGCTGAAGGGCATCCCCTGAGTGCCTGAAGGGTCTGAGCTAAAAGGGATGCCCTGGGGTCTGAGGGCGCTAGATATCCTTGCTGCGGGAGTAGGGAGACCCCAGGATGGGGCTTGTGGCCCTACCAACACTCCCTTCTATTTGTTCATTCAACAGACCTTTATAACTGCCACACTCATCTCCATTTGTGCAGAAGCAGACGACTGTGACCAAGTTCTTGGCCCTCAAGAAATGTGTGGTTCAGCTTCTCATGGGAAGAGGGTCTTTACCAGACCCTAAGAGCTGGTTCTTGGATCTCGTGCAGGAAAAAATTCGGGCAAGTCGTATAGTGAAGTTAAGACAGTTTACCAGGACCAGGCACGGTGGCTCACACCTGTAATCCCAGCACTTTGGGAGGCCAAGGTGGGTGGATCATCTGAGGTCAGGAGTTCGAGACCATCCTGGCCAACATGGTGAAACCCTGTCTTTACTAAAAATACAAAAATTAGCCAGCTGTGGTGGCACTCACCTGTAATCCCAGCTACTTGGGAGGCTGAGGCAGGAGCATCACTTGAACCCGGGAGAAGGAGGTTGCAGTGAGCCGAGGCACTCCAGCCTGGGCGACAGAGTGAGACTCCCTCTCAAAAAAAAAAAAAAAAATAGTTTACTGGAGACCACTCAATTACAGAGTAGGGAGTCTGCAGAATGTAAGAGGAGGAACCTGCCCATTGCAAACACGGTGCTTGCTTTTACAGGTTATTAAAAATAGCGCACTTTGTTGCAAAAGCTTGTG